ATGGATTATGATCATAATCTTACTATGGTCGACATTGCATATATATAACTTATCAATTTGATCACTCAATTAATGGTTGTCATTTTAGTAATTTCTTGAACCACTATGTTTACCTATTTTGTTGGAGATGAACCCGAATTTAGAAAAGAAAAAGATGCTTGTTTCCTAAAATTTACTCTAAAATTCGTTTGGCAACATAAATTAGCTATATATATATAGCTCGACATTATGTTAAATTCAATTATTATTTTTTTGCTAATTTCCCTCCTCTACTGGTAAAATTCCCAAACATTTCATCCACTTATTGAGGGCAAAATTGTCTACAATTAGGTGAGAGTTCAGCACAACTAAAAAGAACGTCAGACTGGAAGATTTAATACTGTCTCTCGTTCGTCCACTGAGGCAGAATATAGGGCTTTGGCTATTGCTGCTGCTGAACTTGCATGGATCAGACAGTTGTTCTGTGATCTGCACGTCTCCTTACATGTACCTCCTTTAATTCATTGTGATAATATCTCTGCTATTGCTCTCTCTTCCAACCCGGTGTTTCATTCCCGAATGAAACATCTCCAGATTGATTATCATTTTGTCAGAGAACGAGTCATTCGAGGTGATTTACTTGTGCAACATGTCTCATCCGCGGAACAATTTGCTGACATTCTCACTAAGGGGCTGTCTATCCCTTTATTCCAGCATCATTGTTCCAATCTCATGCTTGGCTCCTCCAAGCATGAGATTGAGGGGGCATGTAAAGATATCAACGGTCCTCACTCTGCCACATGTCAGAAGATTGAAGAAGAGAGTTGTTAAGACTGTTAGGCAGGTTTTAGCAAAAGAGTTAGCATTCTGTTAGAGAAGTTAGAGAGGTTAGAAGGTTAGAAACGTGTACACAAAGCTTTGATAAGCTAGTATAAAAACCATCACTGTACTGTGTTGAATAATCAATGAATGAAATACATCAGTTCTTCTTCTAAGATTTTCTGCTTCTCTCTGTTAAATCTCTGTTTAGTATTGCTATTCTGACATTGGTGACTATTTTTGTCCTTATTCATAATTCTGAGTACTACATGTTAACTTGTATACATACATGTGATGTTGAAGAATATAAAGTCTCACATCGGAAACTTGAATAAATAAAATACAACATATAATGAATGATTTCACTACTAGTATCACCGAGCCCTTCTGTGATAAAAACCCACACTTACCGAGCTTTGTAGGTAGTTAAGTTTGGGACAATATCGGTGCCACTAATAGTGGATCGTTGGCCCGTCTCTTTGAAATTTAACATGGTATCAGAGTAAGGCTTCACATGTTGGGCCCAACGGCCACACATGCTCTCACGTCACCCAATATATATTGTCCATGTGTTAAGCTTGAAAGTTTGCCAAAAGTGAGGGTGTGTTGAGAGTATTTATTCCACATTGAAAAGTTAAGGGACCAAGCCTGGGTTTATTAGGAGTACGGAGGTTTTGGTATCATGAAATTATCAAGGCCATTCCATATTGAGTATGTTTTAAAAATTGATGCTATTCATGAAAGATAATCAAGTGAGTTATAAAGAGATTATATCCAAAAAAATCACTTAAATATGAAATCATTGAATTTGAGAGCACTTCAGATTCAATATCATCCGCGGAGTTAATTTATTTCGTATGCTAAACATACTAGCTAGCTGTTTGGTCACCAAATGCACTGCTAGAAAGCCAATCTCCATACTTTTGACAACATGTTAACTTCTATAGCCTCTCCTCTGGCTACAATATTTTATCAAAAGAAGTTCAAGTTGCGACAATATAAAACATTAGTATCGCATGAAATGCTTGAAACATATATATTATTCATCAATATATAAGTCGTTACATGGTCCCCTTTTGTCTTCACCGATGTAGTAAGTTAAGCAGCATGAAAATAAACACAACCATTGCAATGAAGTGTACCCCATGATGCCCATTGCCCACACTCGTTTCCAACTTAAAAAAAAAAAAATTCCAAAAACACAAAAACTAACACGAAAAGTAGAAACAATCCATAATATACGAACGAAACAGATGCATAAAATTCAACAACACTGATGTTGTTGATGATGGCTTCAAGCATTCAAGCCCACGCTGTGAAGCACCACGGTCTCAACAGTGAGTCCTGGTCCAAACCCAAACAGCACACCCCAATCCAGTCCATCTCCTGTAGTTTTTAGTCCTTTCTTGGTAGCCCTCTTCCTTACCTCATCCAAAATAAATAGCACACAGGCACTCGACATGTTTCCGTACTCAGATAGTATGTGTCTTGTAGCCTCTAATTTCTCAGGCTTCAGGGCCAATTTGGACTCTACTTGGTCTAGAATTGCTGGGCCACCTGGGTGTGCAATCCAGAATAGTGAGTTCCAATCCGAGATGCCGGAAGGCCTCGTTCAGACTCTTCTCGATGTTCTTCGAAATAAGCCCGGGAACATCCTTGAGCAGATGAAATGTAAGCCCAACTTCACGGAGATGTCCGTCGATGGCTCCATCACTGTCGGGAAGGATGGTTTGGGCTGCTGAGACCACTTCAAATAGGGGCTTCTCGATCTCGGGAATTGGGTCCGCACCCACAATAATAGCTGCTGCACCATCCCCAAATAAAGCCTGGCCCACTAAACTGTCAAGGTGGGTATCACTGGGCCCACGGAAGGTGACGGCGGTGATCTCCGAGCACACAACGAGAACACGAGCACCCCTGTTGTTCTCGGCCAAGTCCTTGGCCAACCGGAGCACTGTGCCGCCGGCAAAACAGCCTTGTTGGTACATCATGAGGCGCTTGACGGATGAGCGGAGGCCCAAGAGCTTGGTGAGCTGGTAATCGGCCCCGGGCATGTCCACACCACTAGTGGTGCAAAAGACCAAATGGGTAATTTTGGACTTTGGCTGGCCCCATTCCTTAATGGCCTTGGTAGCAGCTTCTTTTCCCAGTTTTGGAATTTCAACCACCACCATATCCTGTCTGGCATCAAGGGAAGGTGCCATGTACTCACACATAGTTGGGTTCTCTTTAAGAATTTCTTCAGTCAAGTACATGTAACGCTTCTTGATCATAGATTTGTCACCTGAAAAAAGCATAAACAGAAAAGTTACTTCACAGTAATTCAATGTTTCACTCTACTTGTACACAGATAAAAAAGTCAAAAGAAAAGATTGTTTGCCACTTTGATGACTGAACAAAATGAAAAATATCCCACTCCTGAAATGCGTTAGGCAATTTTAGGGGCTGCAAGAAAAACAACATAAAAAGCACTAGTTATGAAAAGTGTCCCGTATTCTATTCTATTCCTATTCCTATTCCTATTCCTATGTATCAGTATTATTTCAAATTCTTGTGTCACAGAATTCCCATTTTGTTATATTCACAGATATGGAACTATATCATGCATAAAGGCTAAGCCATCTATATATATAAACGTACACCTTGCAATAATGAGTAGCAAAGTATATAGATATATATATATGGAACATGTATTCAAAAACAAGGAGAAGATATTGGTACTTACACATGCGCTGGAATTTTTCTTTGAGCTCAGTTTTGTGCTCACTGTTGGTGATACGGAAGTAGTAGTCAGGGTATGTGGCTTGATCAACACAATTGGGAGGATTTGAAGTCCCAATGGCCAAGACCGTGGCTGGACCCTCTGCCCGTTGAGCCTTGCGAACTTCCTCGACGGTCACCATTTTCTCAGATGGTCAAGAAAGGTGAAAGAGGCTAGGAGCTGGTTGTGGTTGTGGTGGTGTGTTTAGAGTTGTAATGGTAAGTAAGTTTGAGAAAATGTTAAGAGAAGCGGTTGTATTTATATATAATAAGGTGGTGAAAGAGAGGTAGCTAGATATCACGTGCCTGACCAATTCCTGCGTTAGAAAGGCTTAACCACCAAAGGGGAAAGGGCAGAAGGGCCTTGCTGGCACGTGTATTTCTGTGTGGTGTGTGTCGCCTACTAACATCTGCATGATTTGGAATGTGTTTGTTCTCTCGTCTTACCTAACAAAACAAACCATATCTTTCGTTGTCATAGTAGAATTTATTTGTTTCTGATCGGACGGGTAGGATTGGTTTTGATAAAGACAATAACAATAATTTGGGGCGGTACCGTGGTAGGTAGAGTAACACACAAGCACACAGTATAATAGTTCAATGAACCTAAATTTGGAAAAACAAACAAACAAACAATCAAAATTAATGAAGATGATTGATGAATTTAGAGAGAAAAATTAAATAAAAAGAAGCAGCCAATCTAAGACTATACGCTAAATATTATCAAACCAAACTAATTAGGTCTATAGAACGTGCCAGATTAATATCATCTACCGACTTAATTTCTTTCCCTTTCTGTAAAATATGCACGTTCCACTGATTTTACATGCACTGCTATGAAAATGAAACCAATCTCCATCCACCTAATTACATACACTCTTTCCAGCCATTAATAAGCCTCCTCCATCACGTTCGCTTTAAGCATTGCATGTGTCCCGTGAATGGTAGGCGCTAGGGTTGGTGACCCTGGTTCTGAATTTATACCTAGCGCTGCAAAAACTCGTTGGGATCACGTGGCAGTTCAATCCAATTACAAAAATAATGTGTTCAAATTTAAACACTATTTTTTTACGGTCATACTAAAATAAAATAGGCCCTTATAATTTAAAAACTCTACACAATAATCCACCAATAATACAATGTTTAAATAAAACTCAATTTTAAATTATTATAAACTTTGTCCATGTAAATCATGCCACTAGATCTTTATTTGGTTGCTAAACGTTTTTTAATCACTTAATTAAGGCAAATGAATAATACCTCACTCTACTTTTATGTTTCCACTCCCCATAAATAATGGGCTACAATCAAATTACTTCAAATTTTCCCTCCTAACCTCCTATAGCTCGAATAGAAAAAAAATTATTATACCTAATATCCTACAATTATATTTAAAGATTACTTAATATCCTCCAATAATATAGATGTATATGTATAATATATATATATATATATATATATATATATATTCTAATAGATACAATACTCATAGAAAAAAATGTGTTGCTTTAATATACCTACAATAAACCCATAATAGGTAAATTACAAGTATATATTATTGCATAATAGTCAATTATTAGGTAAATTATATCCAAAATGTGTTTATAAAAGTTGGGTATATTATTTGAATAATAAGTAAATTCATACTAAGTACGTTATTTTCACAATATTTTGTGAAAAGCTGGGTATAAATTCATACAAGGTACAGAATAGTCAATGTACTTATAAAAGTTGGGTAGGTAAATTATTTTCACAATATACCTATAACACTGTTGGCTTTAATATACCTACAATATATCCAAACCAGATCAAGCCCAAAAGAGCGATGTGCATATACCAGATGAGTAGGGATGCAGCTCCGTGGACCACTCGTTGCGCCTGATAGGTGGTTGTCTTTAATATACCTATAAATGTGTTGTCTTTAATATACCTACAATATACCCATAATAGGTAAATTACAAGTTATATTATTACATAATAGTAATTATTAGATAAATTATATCCAAAATGCGTTTATAAAAGTTGGGTATATTATTTGAATAATAAGTAAATTCATACTAGGTACATTATTTTTTGTAAAATAAGTAATGGGGGCGTTATTTTTTCAACATAAAAACGTATGTATGCTATTATATTTATAAAACAATAATACAATAGATAATTAATCACATATACTTTATAAATAAATTTTAAAAAATAACCAATTAGGTATGTTAAATCTAAATTTATTGTTAAATTTAAAAAAAGTTTCCAAATTAATTTCTACATCCATTTGGAGATCATTCCAAATGAGTGCTGCTATTTCCACCCACCTGTCTTATTTTCCCACCCACCTTATTTTCAAAATTTTAAAGACAAATTTACCCATTTGTAAAATGACTTCTAAGGACAAAAACCTCAACCCATCATAAACTTTCTCCATACCATGGAGGGATATACCCAAATGTAGTGCCGACTCCCAAAGCAACAACACCAACGCCTACTGCGCAGGTGACAGTGATCCTTAGAAAGGCTTGAAACATCTTTCTGTCACTCAGTAGGTGCCTGCCTAACCCAATCTAAGAAGTAAAATATTTGCCAACACCCCCACACACCACCAAAATAAAATGAATAAAGAAGTAAATGAATCGGGGTATGTTAATTCACACCATATACACTGAACAAAAGAGGAAACATACAATACAATTCATATAATTGATAAAGAGTAAATTGAATGTGCATGGAAAAGCAAACCTGCATAAAGAAGAAGACGCCCAATGCAACCATATGCTCGCCAGACTGCACCAAAACGTAAAGCAGAGTCAAGCTGATTATAAAAGACAACCTCCCCAACCAGATATTCCAGCGTGGGTTACGGGTTAATAATCTGATTTGATCACTTGATTTTTGCTTTTTTTTTTTGTCTCTCTCGAAGAACTTAAAGTATTTCATTGATTCTTGTTAAACCCACAAGCGATCCACGTCGGTGGCAAGAGGAGATGGGGGAGGTGGGTCATCGATGAGGGAAGTTTGTGCTGGGTTTTTTTATTTTATTTTAAGTTTCAAGTTTTTTTGCTTGAATTAATAATTAAAGGACATTTTAGGAAATATGGTGGGTGGAAAAATAGGATTGTGTTTTTTCAAATCTATATGGTGGGTGAGAAAATAAGGTGAGTGGGAAAATAGGACAGGTGGGTGGAAATAGCAGCACTCTTCCAAATTCATCGTGTGTCATTAGTTACAATCCAATTAAAATTTGTTTCTATATGGGTTCCTACATTAATATACAAAATGTAATAATGGCTTAGTTGGGGGTATTTTAGGAATAAAAAAAGTACAATAAATTTGATTTTGCGCTTTAGAAAAGACAGGATTTTATTCAAACAAAAATAAAGAGATGGGTTGTAAAGTTCAGGAAAAATGACTTTCAAGGAGTTAAGCTAATTTTTATTTTATTTTATTTAAATACAAGTGATAAAGTCTAGATGTCATGAGTAGTGGTGGACCCAGTATTTTTTCTATGTGGGGGCATAACAAAGTTAAAATACGAGACACAAGTGCAAAAATTCAAGAGACTTTAAAAATTGATAACATGGTAAATCAATACATTTACAATTGTCCCCTACGAGTTTTCATGTTTTGAAAACGTTGGACATTAAGCTCATTATCAATTTCGTTAAAATGTGTCTCTCTCAAGATATACAACCAAGCTATCATTCATCCATTGATCTCCCATTCGATTGCGCAATCATTTCTTAACAAAGTTCATACAAGATAATACGCTTTCTACATAAGTTGCAGCAATTGCAAGTACCAATGCCAATGTTATGAGTAAATACACTAATGAATATACTTTATGTTGTCCTGTCTCAACAAATTTTTTTGCAAGATCAGAAATTCCATTCAATTCTTGAAACTTGGTATTGGAATGCATATCATCAATATAATTCACAGGCTGAATTTCAAGTGCCATGAGTTGATCAATAGAAAAATTACTTGGGTAGAATTCAGCAAGGCATAAGCAAAAAATGAATTATTCGGACTTAAGCATGTCAAGCGAAGTAGCAACTTAGTGCTAACCTCTGTGAAACGATTCCTTAGCTCTTGAAGTTGCAATCATCATAGAAAAGATCAACACGATAGTAATGCAAAATTTTAATTTTTTGTGCCCTACGCCGTGATCGCTCTCAAGCTACAAACATATCATCCATACTAGGAACTTCAATATTTTGCTTCACAAAAAAGAAGGAAACTTGCTCTAATTAATAAAGAATCCCATCCATTGTCTCTCATATTTTGTAGGTTTCGCTTGCATATTTCAACTAAATCCATGGCATTCACAATATCTTGATCATCCCTTTGTAAGGCTTGTGATAACTCATTTGTAATTCCAAGTATAATCATCATCAAATGCAAACTGAACACAAAATCAAATGATTGCAGCAACCCTAACATAATAAATGCTTCATGTTTCTGATTAGTGCCCACTCTATCATATGAAATTTCCTATATCCATCAATTATAGATGGAAACATGGAAACAAAGTTAATCGAAGTACCATAGTGTGAGCCCCGTCAAATCAAGTATCACATGGATCTTTAACTCTAATTTCTTGATTCAAGCCTTGCCCACTTAAGAGCTTGCCATTGCTAAGTGCTTCATCACATGGACCTTTAACTCTAATTTCTTGATTCAAGCCTTGCCCACTTGAGAGCTCGCCATTGCTAAGTGCTTTAGTAACTTTGAGAGCTTGTTTTTCTCGAAGAATGTCACAACATTTTAATGATGCCCCAACAATATTTAGCACATTGAAAACTAAGGTGAAGAAAGCACCTGGCTATGGGTTTTTGCCAAAGACATAGAGCCAATTGAAGTTGATGAGCAAAGTAGTGAACATAAGAAGCATATGAACTCTCTTTCATAATAAGTGTTTTCAAACCATTGAAGTCTCCATTCACATTACTTCCTCCATCATAACCATGACCATACAATCGACATATGCTTAAATGATGTCTAGCAAATAATGCATCAATCGATGTCTTCAGTGTGAGAGATGTTGTATTAGCCACATGTTCAATACCAATGAAACGTTCAATCACATACCCTTTTTGTCAATATAACAACCATTTGCTAAGTTAGTTTTTGATCTGTAATAATGGCTTAGTTGGGGGTATTTTAGGAATAAAAAAAGTACAATAAATTTGATTTTGCGCTTTAGAAAAGACAGGATTTTATTCAAACAAAAATAAAGAGATGGGTTGTAAAGTTCAGGAAAAATGA